ACTCAAACAAGATAACTTTTTTTTAAAATCACTTAAGACTGTTTTGTAGATTAAATAATCTATGTATAATTCTAAGTACAAAATACATGCTCAGTAAATGGACCACAGTAGTGTTGCGATTGGTGTTATCAGCCAGCCTCCAGGAGCTCTAGTGAGTGGTCAGCTCTGGGGGGGTCTCTGGTCTTGGCTGTCCACAGTCTAAGAAGAGTAGGGAGGGAAGTTTGGCTGCTCCTTCTCCTGGACCATTGGAGGTCAGGATGCAGTAGGATCCTGGGCCCCTAACCCTCCATCACTCCCTCTGGCTGCCGACAGGCAAGCAGGCAAACTCAGAGGAGAGGAAGGCTGCCCTCAAAACAGCCTCTGACTTCATCACCAAGATGGACTACCCCAAGCAGACCCAGGTGAGTCTTGGAGGCCAGGTAGGATGGGAAGGGTGGGTCCTATTTGGAGGGGATGGGCCAAAGTATGGTGGGTGTCCCACCCTCAGTGTGGATGGGGTATCTGAGGAACCCCTGCTGTGTGGCCCAGCCACATCCTGCTCCTCCACCTTTCCTCCCCAGGTCTCGGTCCTTCCTGAGGGCGGTGAGACCCCACTGTTCAAGCAGTTCTTCAAGAACTGGCGGGACCCAGACCAGACAGATGGCCTGGGCTTGTCCTACCTTTCCAGCCACATCGCCAACGTGGAGCGGGTGCCCTTCGATGCTGCCACCCTGCACACCTCCACTGCCATGGCCGCCCAGCACGGCATGGATGATGATGGCACTGGCCAGAAACAGGTACCGTTAGGGGGTGGGTGGGTGTGTCCAGGCCCCTCCCTCACTCTCCCCATGCACTGCCTCTTGCTTCCCCGAGGAGGTTTCTCTCTGAGGCTTGCACAGTTTTGGTAGTTGAGATTCTTTGGCGTTACTTAGTTTTCACAGCCAATGCACCCTGAGCACCTAGTGTGTATCAGACCCTGGGCCAAGTCTCTTGGCCCCACCCTGCCCTGAGGAATGCCTGATCTGGGAGGGGAGCTGACCACAGCCACAGACCTGGGTGATCAGTGGAAGGTGGGAGGGAGCACAGGAGATTGTGGGAACACAGGAAGGGCAGCGGGGGTAGTTGGTCAGCGCAGCCGTACGGAGATGGCGACCCTTGGGTGGGGTCTCAGAATAGGTGTAGGGCTTTGCTGCCGGAAGGGAAGAGTGGAGAGTGGTGGGCATTCCAGGTGGGACTCATTATGTTCGGGGAGGAGGGAGCTGTCCCAGGGGGCTAGTACTAATGGCATCCCCAGGGAGGGGACTTGAATGCCAATTTCAAGGGTATGGACTTGATGACTTGATTCTCTAACCAGTGGGTGCTAGTGAGGGGTTTTCCTTTTTATTAAATCAGAAATGCAGCAGACTCAGATCTATGATTTATCTTTTTTTTTTTTAGAGACAGTGTCTTGCTATGTTGCCCAGGCTAGTTTCAAACTCTCGGGCTCAAGCAATCCTTCTGCCTTGGTCCCCCAAAATATTGGAATTAAAGGCATGAGCCATTGCACCTGGCCATGTGCTTTAGAAACTCACCGTAAAAATGGGTTGGAATATGACTCCAGGATATCATTAGAAGAAAAAAATCAATTACGAAAAAAGAAAAATGAAAAGAAAACTAAGAAAATGGGCTGGAGGCAGGAAGACGAAGTTAGAGAGCTTATGAGGAGCTTGTTCTAATAGTTAAGGGGAGAGAAGATGATGAGCTTGAGACTAAGGGTTACAGTGGAGATCAGGGGAAGTGGGGCATGGGGTTGAGAGGTGTTTGGAGATAGAATCTGCTTCAGGCAAACTTGATTCCATTCAATGATAGGAATAGTAAAAGTGCTCATTTGTATGTATTATTGTTTTGGTTTGGTGTTATTAGCATTCATTTATTGCTTCAGTGGATAGGGAGAATGCAGTGAAAATACTCGGGGTAGGGGTGTGTTAAGAGCCCTGGCAGCCTGCCTGTGAGATTTTGAGTGAGTTACATAATATCTTTGAGCTTCACTTTCTCATTTGTAAAATGGGGTTTCATCCCACTCCATCACCTTCAAGAATGTTTAAAGTCCAGATTCTGGGATTCTGCTTCCCTGGACTTGGGCGACTCTGTGTCTCCATAGCTCCAACAGGTGGCGCTGCCGGGCTTCATGACCACTTGGAAAAAGCGGTGTCACCGGAGCACTGCAGAGACCTGCCAGCAGGGGTCATACTGAGGTCGCCTCATGATGGCCCTGCCTCTGCAGGTGACCTATATAATCCTGGCAGGCCAAGCCAGTGGCTCAGGCCTGTAATCCCAGCACTTTGGGAGGCCGAAGTGGGCGGATCATGTGAGGTTGGGAGTTCAAGACCAGTCTAGCCAACATGGTGAAACCCGTCTCTACTAAAAATACAAAAATTAGCTGGAAGTGATGGCAGGCGCCTATAATGACAGTTACTCGGGAGGCTGAGATAGGAGAATGGCTTGAACCCTGGAGGCAGAGGTTGCAGTGAACAGAGATCGCGCCATTGCACTCCAGCCTGGGCCACAAAAGTGAAACCTCTTCTCAAAAAAAAAAAAAAAAAAAAGAAAAAAAAATAAATAAAGAATCCAGGCATCTCAATAATGATAGAGATAATGGTGATATTAGTAAGACAATAATAATAATTAATGTAATAAGAGCAGCTGCCACCTCCAGAGCTGTCCCCTTGTGCCAGGCCCTAAGCTAGACTTTCATGAGTAAACCCATTTGAGCCTCACAATACTTTGAGGTAGGTACTATGATTATCCCCATTTTTCAGATGGAAAAACTGAGGCCAAGAGTGGTTAAGCCAGTTGTCTGAAATCTCATGGCCTGGAAGAGGGTGGGGTCTATCTGGGGTCTGTGTCTGGCTCCTCCTCTCACTGTGCTATGTTCCTTCAGAGCTGCCTTGATGGTCCTCAGTGAGGGACAGATGGGCTGGGGCAGGGCATGGTATGAGGGTCCTGGACAGGAGCCCCGACGAAGAGTCCCAGCCCTGCCTCCTAGTGGCTCTGTGAGTTGGGCAAACTATTTAACTCCAGTCTGAGCCCAAAGTTCATCCCATGGTCTAACCACAACCTACCACGCTGCGGTTTCCTGGCTGGCCTGAGCTGGTGCTGAGGGGTGCTGCACAGCATCTGATCCCAGCTTTGCTCCAACAGATCTGGAGAATTGAAGGCTCCAACAAAGTGCCTGTGGACCCTACCACATATGGACAGTTCTATGGAGGCGATAGCTACATCATTCTGTACAACTACCGCCATGGTGGCCGCCAGGGGCAGATAATCTACAACTGGTGAGGTCCTGGGGCCCTCGGTGTATGTTGTGGGGGGCACTGGCTGGGCTCTGAACAGGGCCTGAGGTGGGACTGCCACTCCCTGCTGGGAAAAGCTCTCATCCATAGGGCAACACCATTTGCTTATTTCTCCAAACAGCTTTTAAACTCCTCTTACCAAATGATTATACATCTATTGTAGGAGATACAGTGAATGTGAAGAAACAAACAGAACATTTCCCACAAGTCCATGCCAAGTACTGGGCACACTAGGGATTATCCTCCCACACATATTTTTCAAGTCAAAATTATTTTATTACTATGTATTTATTTATTTTGAGATGGAGTTTCGCTCTTATTGCCCAGGCTGGAGTGCAATGGCACAATCTCAGCTCACTGCAACCTCTGCCTCCTGAGTTCAAGCGATTCTCCTGCCTCAGCCTCCCTAGTAGCTGGGATTACAGGTGCACGCCACCCCTCCTGGCTAATTTTTTGTATTTTTAGAAAAGACTGGGTTTCACCATGTTGGTCAGGCTGGTCTTGAACTCTTGACCTCAGGTGATCCACCCGCCTCAGCCTCCCAAAGTGCTGGGATTACAGGCATGAGCCGCCACACCCAGCCCAACAATTACTTTAAAACAGAGAATGCATTTACATGGTTCAGAAATCAAAACAGAATATAAAGGTATTTATTGAGAAATCTTACTCCCACCCCTGTCCCTCTTTACCCCATTCTCCAGACCCCATTCCTTCTTGGGTAACTGCTTTAATCCCTCGTTCTAATCTTTCCAGTAACTCTTTATGAAAAAAATATACAAATAATTTATAGCCTGGTCTCTCCCTTCCTTACACAAAAGATAGCATACTTTGTATATTGCCCTGCACCTTACTTTTCTGACTCCATTCTTCCTAGAGATCAATCATGTCAGTACATAGAGAGCTTCCTCATTCTTGGCCAGGCGTGGTGGCTCATGCCTATAATCTCAGCACTTTGGGAGGCCAAGGTGGACAGATCACCTGAGGTCAGGAGTTTGAGACCAGCCAGCCTGGCCAATATGATGAAACCCCGTCTCCACTAAAAATACAAAAATTAGCCGGGCATGGTGGTGGGTGCCTATAATCCCAGCTACTCGGGGTGCTGAGGCAGGAGAATCGCTTGAACCCAGGAGGCGGAGGTTGCAACAGTGAGCCGAGATCATGCTATTGCACTCCAGCCTGGGGGACAATAGGGAGACTTTTTTTTTGTCTCAAAAAAAAAAGAGAGACCTTCTCATTCTTTTTTATAGTTGCATAATAGTCTTTGGGTGGCTGTACTATAGTTTATTTAACAGATTCCTTGATGATGCATACTTGGGTTGATTCCAGTCTTTTTCTATTACAAGCATTGCTGTGATTAATAACCTTAAACAAACATCATTTTGAACGTGCAGAGAAATGTCTCTAGAGTAAGTTCCCAGAAGTGGGATTGCTGGGTCAAAGAGTATCTGCACTTGTCATTTTGATTGATAGCTCCAATTTCCCTTGATAGTGTTTGTAGCAGTTTTTACATTCCCACCAAGCAACCTGTGAGAGTCCCTGGTTCCCTACAGTCACACCCACGGATTGCATGGTCAGACTTTTGGGTGTTTGTCAGTTTTACGGTTTATAAAATGGTGTCTCAGTGTATTTTTAATTTGTATTTCTCATACTATACAGTCTGAAATTTTTGTCTGATTATTGACTGTTGGATTTCTTTTTTTTGAGACAGGGTCTTACTGTGTACAGTAAGTGCAGTGGTACAATCTCTGCTCACTGCAACCTCCACCTCTGGGGCTTAAGCGATTCTCATCCCTCAGCCTCCCAAGTAGCTGGGACTACTTGCCACTACTCACTACCATGCCTGGCTACTTTTTGTACTTTAATATGGATGGGGTTTTGCCATGCTGCTCAGGCTGGTCTCAGACTCCTCAAGTGTTCTGCCTGCCTCAGCATCTCAAAGTGTTGGGATTACAGGCATGAACCACTGTGCCCGGCCAGATTTCTTTTTTCTTTAAACTTCTTATTTTGAAATAATTTTAGACTTGCTGAAATCTTACAAAAATAGTACAGACAGTTCTCATATATCCATTACCCGGCAGAACAGTCCCCTATGTTCACATCTTACATAACCATTGCACAATTAACAAAGCCGGAAAAGGAACATTGACACATACTGGTTACTAATCTATAGGCTTTACTTAAATTTCCCCAGTTTTCCCATTACTGTTCTTTTTTTTTTAGAGACAGAGTCTCACTCTGTCACCTAGGCTGGAGCACAGTAGCGTGATCTCTGCTCACTGCAACCCCTACCTCCCAGGTTCAAGCAATTCTCCTGCCTCAGCCTCCCAAGTAGCTGGGATTACAGGTGCCCGCCACCATGCCCAGCTAATTTTTGTATTTTTAGTAGAGATAGGGTTTCACCGTGTTGGCCAGGCTGGTCTCAAACTCCTGACCTCAAATGATCCACCTTCCTCAGTCTCCCAGAGTGCTGGGATTACAGGCGTGAGCCATCACACCCAGTCCCCACTACTGTTCTTTTTCTGATCTAGGGTCTAACCCAGGATCCCACATGGCATTTACTCATCATGTCTCCGAAGTCTCTGAATCTATGGCAGTTTCCCTGTCTTTCCTTTTTTTATAACCTTGACCTTGACACTTTTGAAGAGTATCAGTCAGTTATTTTGTAGAATATCTCTCAATTTGACAACCCCAGACCTTTAGAAATACCTGGTACAAAATTTGTGTGAAGACTTTTAAAAAAATTAGCTGCATCACACATTGATATGTCAGATTTTGTTTGCTTATGTGATGACATATGTTGGTTATGGAAACGTAGAAATATGCAAAGAGGTGGGATAGAAAGGCAAAATCCCCCTAAAACTTCCCTCTAAGGGCAATCGCCATGGACCTTTTGCTGAACATCTGTGCAGACCTCTCTGCACGTGTTCACGGGAGGCTTAATCGTTGACATCTTTTCCCATAAATGGGCTCACGTGACACTTGCTGTTCTGTGACCTGGTTTTCCACCCAGAGAAATGTCCTGGCCACTTCCCTGCATCTCAAATTTGAGTCTCAGAGCACCTTCTCTGTAGCTGTTCAGTATGGAATGACCCAGCCAGTCTCCTGTGGGGCACATTTAGGATAAGGAAATTCATGCGTTGCACTCAGATCTTTGTAAGCAGGCAAGGTGCTTGGCTGAGAGTGGAAGTGTTGTTGGTGTGGTTCCTGGCTCTTGTTGCTCTGAGAGGGTCCCCTTCTCTCTCTGTTTCTTTACTGGTAACGGGGTGATTTGTATGTTTCTCAGACTCAGGGCAAGGGAGAGGCTCAGGGCTCTGTGTGCACCTTGGTGCTGAATCTCACTTCCCCTTCCAGGCAGGGTGCCCAGTCTACACAGGATGAAGTCGCTGCATCTGCCATTCTGACTGCTCAGCTGGATGAGGAGCTGGGAGGTACCCCTGTCCAGGTGAGCCCAGCCCACCAGCTCTCTGGGCTGCAGCCTGAGCCTTGTCTATCTGTTACTCATCTGTCTGACTCTCAACCATCTGTTCGTTTGTCCATCCATCCATCCATCCATCCATACATCCATACATCCATGGTACAGATATTTATTTAGGGCTTGGATGTGTTCCACACTGCATCTGTAGCCATGGACACGCAGACACTGCCCTGCCCTAATGGGCTTTGCTGTCTTGGGTGGTAGTAGACATTCAACACACATGTACACTAATGGCTATGACAGATGAAGCGAGTGAAAATGATAAGACCTTGGGGAGACAGATGTGGGAGAGGCAACATGGCTAAGCACGGATGTGGAGCCAGCACGCTTGGGTTTGAATCCTGTTCTTACCTCTGGGCAACTTTGGGCAAGTCACTTAGCCCCTCTGTGCCTCTGCATCCTCAAAATAGGGGTAATAACAGTACCATCCCACAGGATTGCTGTGAGGATTAAGTTAACATTTGTAAAACATTTAGAGCCATGCCTGTCATATAATAAGTTCCTCCCTTATACACATGTGTTAAGTATAAGGGCATAAATCCCAGGTAGGATCCTATTGGATTAGAAAAGCCCACTCCTGTCCCAAGAGGGAACTGTTCAATGGGGGCCTAATGCATGTGTAGGAGTTGGCCAGGCAGAGTGAAGGAAAGTACGTTCCAGCTAAAAGGTGGTGCATACACAAAGGCCCTGGAGTGGGCGGGAGCATTGGGTGTTAAAGTGAAGGGAAGGTGCCATGATTTGAGGCTGGACAGGTGCTCAGAGGGCCCAGACCACCAGAGGCCACGGTGACGATGTTGACCTTGATGCTCAGAATAACAGGAAGTTGCTGAATGATAAGTCTGCGGTGTGGGGATTTCTGGTTTTAAAAGTCGCTCTGGCTAGCGGGGGCGCTGGAGGGCAGCAGAGCTGGTTTGTGGAGATGTGGGGGAAGCAGACAACAATTGTCTTCCTCCATCCTATGCGGGGGGTGCGCAGGGCTCTAGACTTGGATCAGGGCTTCATGCCCTGACCTTTGTCTATGATAGTCTGGGTGCTGAGCACTAAATGAGACGATGACCATCGTAGCTCAGTGCCTCCTCACGATGGCCTTGGGAGTAGCATCCTTGGCTGCATTTTACAGAGGAGGAACCCAAGAGGTTGAGATATGTGCCCAAGTTCTCACCATCAGGGTGGAGTTGGGTCATGGTGGGAAGCAACTGCCATGCACCAGACCCGCACGTGTGGTTTTCTTCTGGACGTAGTTAGTCAGGGCTGCGGTAAGGTGGCACACATGGCTGGGGATGGGTAGCACTTGTGAGGATGTACATCTTCCCCGCTTCACTCCCACCTCCCAGCCTCTGACTGCTGCCTGCATCTGGGTTGCACTGGCTGTCAGGAGGGCGTTTTCCAGATCTGGAATGCTCTGTTCTTACCACTCCACTGGCAGTCATTGGCCAGGCCTGACGTCACCATTCTGGAAGAATGTCCACCAGCAATCCCTGTGCTTCTATTTAAGGGAATATTTGCAGACATGGGCTCTCCTGGTTCTTGGACCAGACTGAGGGTCAGCAAGGCACATCCCCATGGAGATGGAGAGCAGCCACAGCAGCAGTGCCCTGGGGACCGCAGGCGATAGTGTTGTCTCCACCCTTTTTGGAATTTTGTGTCTGGGCCTGTGTGTTGTAGGGTCACACTCACTGCCACACACAGACATAAGCATGATGGCTTTTTCTGAAGGGGTGGGCCCAGTGTGACATAGAAGGACTGAGTCCTGCCCCCAAGGTCCCCTCACTCTCCTGTCTCTCTGCCAGAGCCGTGTGGTCCAAGGCAAGGAGCCCGCCCACCTCATGAGCCTGTTTGGTGGGAAGCCCATGATCATCTACAAGGGCGGCACCTCCCGGGAGGGCGGGCAGACAGCCCCTGCCAGCACCCGCCTCTTCCAAGTCCGTGCCAACAGCGCTGGAGCCACCCGGGCTGTCGAGGTAATTCCCAGGTCCTGGACCACAGAAAGGATTGGCCTCCCTGAAACCTCCCAGGCTCAATGGGCAGATGTCCAGGCACAGGATGGGGTGGGGTGGGAGAGGGGGTAAGAAGCAGCTTTTTGTACCTTCCTGCCCTGGCCGCGGGGTGATCTGTCTCAGACTTCCTCCTGTTTCAAGGATGTCCTGTGTCCCTGGCACACTGCATAGTGGACAGCTCACTACCTATCGTTCTGTACAATCAGGACGCCATTCCTGATTACATTCCCGTTGGCTACTATCCCTTTCGGGAGGAAGGCACAGATCTGGACGTGATTCCCAGGATGGTCTGGGGAGCCTAGAGGGGAATGGGACTCTCACCTTCTTTGTTCTGGGTGCTCAACTTCTGTTAATGCAGCCCTGAATTCTAGAATCATCTTGGCTAGTCACAGTGCATTAGTGACTCATGGGAGTCAACCAAGGCCGTCAGAATCCAAAGCCTGTGCCCTTAGCTCTGATGGGCTGTGTTCCTCCAAGTCCCCTCCTGAGAGCTCGTCCTGTTGCAGGGTCAGCCGGGCTGGAGGGGGCTGAGGGCTTTTTGTCTGGCTCCTGATTAACCAAGCTCTACCCTCCCAGGTATTGCCTAAGGCTGGGGCACTGAACTCCAACGATGCCTTTGTCCTGAAAACCCCCTCAGCTGCATACCTGTGGGTGGGTACAGGAGCCAGTGAGGCAGAGAAGACAGGGGCCCAGGAGCTGCTCAGGGTGCTGCGGGCTCAACCTGTGCAGGTGACAGAAGGCAGTGAGCCAGGTAGGAGCCGGGATGCAGCTGTCACATTTCTCTCCTTTCCTTTCGCATGGGGGCTCTAAATCCTCCCCCCTCCCCAGGGCCTGTCCCCTAAGGTATGTTAAATAAAAACAGTTGGATTAAAATGAGGGCTATGGTCAGAAAGAAAGAGGTCTCCAGGAGTTAAAGGAAGGAAAGCCCAGTGTGGGAAGGAGCATTCGGGCTGTGGAAGGAGGCAGTCGCTTGCTAGGAAGCCTTGAAAGGCGGTAGGCAGGGCTGACAGCGTCGGAGGGGCAGTGGGCTCTGCATGACCACCAGCCTGCTCTGTGTCCAGAACGTGGGCCGGGAAGCTCTTCCTTCTGCCAGCAGGCAGTCTTTCTACTGTGATTTCGAGTCCATTTCCAACTGCTTGATGCTTAACAGAAATGGAGAAGAGTGACTTGGTCTAAAGCAGCTCTCTTCAGCAGAACCATCTATGCACATGGACATGTTTTGTATCTGCCAGGTTCAGTTTGGCAGCCACTAGTCACATGTGGCCATTGAGCACTTGAAATGCAACCAGTGGGAATTAGTGGGAATGAAGAACTGAGCTTTTAGTTGAATTTAATTAATGATTTTAAATTTACATGGCTGCACGTGGACAGAGGAGGTATAGTGGAAAGAATGCAGGCATTAAAGTCAGACAAGATTTGCATCTTGGTCTTAGCACTTACTATCCGTGTGACCTTGAGTGAGTTGCTTAACCTCTCCGAGCCGCAACGCCTCATTAGCTGAGTAGAGCTAATGATCCCCATCCTGCAATGCTGTCGTCAGACTCAAGCCAATAGTAGTCCTGGATGTGTGACAACTGCCAAGTCTGCCCTCTCTGGGCCTCTATTTCATCACCTTCCACTTCCCTCAGGCCTCTTCCCTCCGGGCCCCTTGGGATTTAGGATGGAGGGAGGAAAGGGAGGCAGAGCAGTAGATTGGGCTTGGGCAGGGCTGGGCCCAGGGTCTGATGAGATGGAAGAGAGGGGTGATGGCATCGCTTGGCAACTGGTGTGGCCTCCCCTGACAGACAGCTTCTGGGAGGCCCTGGGCGGGAAGGCTGCCTACCGTACATCTCCACGGCTGAAGGACAAGAAGATGGATGCCCATCCTCCTCGTCTCTTTGCCTGCTCCAACAAGATTGGACGTTTTGTGGTGAGCCTTGAGGAGGTCACACCTCTGCTTTCCCCTCGGGAGGCGGGTTCCAGGGGACTGGCCGGCAGCAGGGGCAGGAGAAACAGTTTTGATGGCATGGCACAAAGGAAGGGGCCCTCTGCCAGCTGCAGCCAGCTGTGCCATTCCCTCAGGGGGCAGATAGAGGAAGCCCACCCAGGGGAGGGAAGACGTCCCACTGATGCTCTTTCGTTCCTTCCCAGATCGAAGAAGTTCCTGGTGAGCTCATGCAGGAAGACCTGGCCACGGATGATGTCATGCTTCTGGACACCTGGGACCAGGTGGGTGAAGGACAGGTGAAGGCTCTCTGTGCCAAAGGGAGTGAGAGAAACTAGACTTTCAGTTCTATGATCAGTTGCTAAAAGGACTTAAAAGGAACTTAAAAGAGGCAGTGCCAGGTGTTGCCAGACAAGTCTCTAGGCTACTGGAGGTCCCTTCCTCTTTCTGAGCCTGTTTCCTCATCTGTAAACTGGGAGTGGTGGTACCTCCCTTGCGAGTACACTCGCCTTGAAAGCTGCAAAATGCCATATAAAGGCAACATCATTCTCTCCCAGGCCTTACAGGAGCATGAACTCTTCCTTTAAATCTGTTGGTGAAGGAAGTTGAACTTAGCAGCATCTCATTTGCAGGCATATAGTGTCCAGTATCACCTGGAGGCTCTAGAGGACTCCTGCTTCTGTTTTGAGGCCTCCGGGCTCTGTCTCCATTTAATCTCCTGGAGAAGGCCATTATGTAGGACTTGGCAGGGGACAGTGCCATCCACTCACTCAACCAATATGAATTGGGCTCTGCTTTGTGCCAGGTGCTTTGTGTTTGAGAGGCTATGGATGGAGTAATGAAAAAGTAGACATTTCCCTGCCCTCAGAGGGCTTACATTCTCACAGGGGTGTCAGGTCAGTCACTCTTCCCATCAAGGTGGCTTCTCCCAGAGTCCTCAGAGTCCACAGACTCTCTGCTACCTACAGTGCTGCTTCTTGGAGTCCCCAGTTGGAAGATCAGGACGAAAGATGGTTGCAGCTTGAGCCATTCAGCAGTTGTCTTTGACTGAGCCATTGGCTACTTAATCCGCTTGTTCATCTGTTCGGCATTCAGTCAGCCAACATTTATTCAGCACCACTGTCTTCCAGGTGAAGTGCTGAGTGCTGAGAATCCTATGATGAGCAAAATAGAATGTCTGCCTTCGAGGGGCTTCCGCTTTAGTTGGGAACACATTTATAAATATGAGAGAGCCAGGCACAATGGCTCAAGCTTGTAAACCCAGCACTTTGGGAGGCCAAGATCACTTGAGGTCAGGAGTTCAAGACTAGCCTGGCCAACATGATGAAACCCTGTCTCTACTAAAAATACACACAAAAAATTAGCCAGGCGTGGTAGTGGGTGCCTGTAAGCCCAGCTAGTTGGGAAGTTGAGGCAGAAGAATTGCTTGCACCCAGGAGGCAGAGGTTGCAGTGAGCTGAGATCGTGCCACTGCACTCCAGCCTGGGAGACAGAGTGAGACTCATCTTAAAAAAAAAAATAAGAGAAACCAAATCTGATATTTTATTGTCTAATGCTATTTTATCAATGATAGGTGCTCTCTGAAGTAATATTTTAGATATGCATAAAAATAGATGATACCTAAAAATCAGCTCAATAACATGTAATAGAACTTGTAACAAGGCTCCAAATGGTGGCCAGTGGTGCCAAGTTATTTTTATTCCAAGCCTTTGGCCCACTTTGGCCGAGATGCACATAGACTGGGACATCGCAGACTCTCAGTGCATATTTGTTGGATGAATAAATGAGTGAGAATGTGTTTGGCCACCCATTTGTTGAGTGAGTGAATGCTGTTAAAGAGCTAACTCATGGACCTTTAGAGAAGAATCTCAAGCTCAATGGCTGACGGCACCTGGTTGGCAATGTTAGTGAGTGATGCCGACTGGGCTGGGGAGACATGAAGGAGCAGTGGGGTCTGAGGCAAACTACTACTGCCCATCTCAAAGGGGCGGCTCCTGCACAGCTTGACTCAAGTGAGGTTGGAAGGCTCAGCATGCTAGATCCTTCCATTTTTTTAAGAGAAGTTGGAAATACAGATTATTATGTCATCGATGGTTTAAAAATACATTGTTGGCCAGCGCAAGGTGGTGGGTGAGCAAACAAAACGTGTTTGTAGGTTGCCAGTTTTCAATCTCTCTTCCAAATCCTCTAGTGTTAGTTCATGGGCTCCATTAGTGAGGAGAGGGCTTTGTCTGGTCTAACACATGGCCACTCCCCAGTCTTCCTCTAGTCGTAAATTTGGTCAGCACCCCTCATGTACCTTTCATGTCTCATCTCGCCTCCAGGTCTTTGTCTGGGTTGGAAAGGATTCCCAAGAAGAAGAAAAGACAGAAGCCTTGACTTCTGGTGAGGACCCAAGTCCCTAGGGATCTGTTACTCATGGGGTAGTGGGAGTGACTTCTGTATAGGTCCAGGACTGAGCATCAGTAGGGTGGGGACTTCCTCCTCTATGGTTAGCCCCCATAAATTCTGCCGGGGGTAGTGAAGAACAGATCAGTGCCTTCAGAAACTCTGAGGCTTCTGAAGGAACCTCAGGATTTCTGAAAGCACTGATCTGTTCCAGGGGAAGGAAAGAACAGATGAGAAGTAAGTTCAAGTTCCCAGAAAACTTAAGAGCTGCACTTGTCAAGGTTTAGATGTGGCAATGCAGGCCAGGAGTGTAATCCCAGCATTTTGGGAGGCCAAGGCGGAGGAGGATCACTTGAGCCCAGGAGTTTGAGACCAGCCTGGGTAACACAGTGAAACCCCATCTCTAGGAAAAAATACAAAAAAATTAGCCAGGTGTGTTGGTGTATGCCTGTGGTCCCAGCTACTCAGGAGATTGAGTTCAAAGGATTGCTTGAGCCCAGGAGGTCATGACTGCTGTGAGCTATGACCACTCTACTGTAGCCTGGGTGACAGAATGAGATGGTGTCTCAAAAAAAAAAAAAAAAAAGAAAGAAAGAAAGAAAGAGAAAAAGATGTTGCAAAGCAGAGTCCTGGTAGTTGACTAGATCTGATTTAGGAGCTGGGAACCTGAAAGTTGGTTCCCATATCTTCAGTAGGGGACTGCAAGGGAAAAGTAATAAGCTTTATGAAGAAGGCAGCTAAGCTGTAGCCCCTGTTCCTTCCTGTATTCCTGAGCAGGGTGGTGGAGAACACACGTGGGTATCATGCCTGTAAGGGAAGATGGTGCCCAGGGCAGGGGGTGGGCAGTAGGGACAGTAGGACCATAGATACTCTTCTTTGTCAACTCCTGTCCTGAGTCACTCTCTCCCTGGTGAGGGAGGCACTAAGGATTCTGGGGTTTCCTTTTCTTGCACGTGTGTCTGCAGCTAAGCGGTACATCGAGACGGACCCAGCCAATCGGGACAGGCGGACGCCCATCACCGTGGTGAAGCAAGGCTTTGAGCCTCCTTCCTTTGTGGGCTGGTTCCTTGGCTGGGATGATGATTACTGGTCTGTGGACCCCTTGGACAGGGCCATGGCTGAGCTGGCTGCCTGAGGAGGGGCAGGACCCACCCGTGTCACCGGTCAGTGCCTTTTGGAACTGTCCTACCCTCAAAGTGGCCTTACAGCTAGCAGAGAAACTCTGCTATGTGTGTGTGTGTGTGTGTGTTGTTTTTTTCTTTTTTTTTACAGTATCCAAAAACAGCCCTGAAAAAATTCAGGATCCTTGCAAAATTATCTAAAATA